GATGAGTTACGGTATTGAGAGCACAGGGTAGGTGTAAAGAAACAACCACTCATGCAGTTAACCTATTTATTTCAAGTCTAGTGCAAAAACGTATGATCGCACCGGCTCGCCTGGTGCTTTCCAGCCTGGGTTTGTATAGTTCCCCGCAGTTTTTGTTACTACCGGCACCGACTTTTTCGGCAAATGCTTCTCGCTAAACAAATTAAAACTGGCCGCCAGAACTGTTAGAAAACACCCCCTTTAAATTTCAACTTTCTAGCTTCCCTGGCTCCTGAGCTAGCAACTTACTGGAAAAAAATTTTCACTGACGCGTGCGTGTTTACCACGCACACCCGAGAGCTGGGTTTGGGCTGAATGAAACTTGGACGGGTATGTCTCTTAAAATTACAGTCCTTTAGCTTCTCAGGTACTCGAATTATCAACTTACTCGAAAAAAATTTTGGCGAGCCCGTATGCTGGCAACACGCTTACTCGGGGGCTGGGTTTGAGCTCACTAATACCCATTTGGACGGGAACATCCTCCTAAGATTTCAGCTTTCTAGCTTCTCAAATTCCCGAGTTATGAACTTGCCTGAAAAAAGCTTTGGCGGGCCCGTACGCGGGCACCATGCGGTTTCCAAAATCAAGTTCCCAAAATTTCAGCCCTGTAGCTTTTGTAGGTCATGAGACGAAAAACCGTGACAGACGCACACACGGACGCACAGACACACAGACAACCCCTCATCAATATGCGTTTTCTGCATTGCATAGCCGCAAAAACGCATTAAAAAAAGGCTAAAAAAAGTAGCACTTCAAAATGCAAGACTTTCCCTTGCAAAGCAAAACTTTCTTTACGTATCGTTCTGCAAAAAGTTCTACTGATTATTATACATTTTTACGCGTTTTTGCACTTTACGCAGATGCCAAAACGCATATCTGGAGAGGCTGTCTGTATGTGTTCGAAGTGGAGGTTGAACTTTATCACCTACTTTCAATTTCGCAACCAAAAAACTGAGGGGCTGGAACTGTAAGAGCGTATTTCCATCCCATATGCCACCCTCCCGTTTGGAAATCATCCTTCTAAAAAAGCATCGACAAAAATGAGAAGCTGGAACTTTTCAGGATATTTTCTGTCTGTCTGTGAACTAAAAGTTCAAATTCAGCTAATGCGCATACTTTAGTTTTGCATATGGTCACATTAGCACCATGCCGACTCAAAAATCAGATAGAAAGCAATAGTTGTAATTTTGCCAGAATATTCATCGCCTGCCTGAAAATCGAATACCCAAATGTGATCTCGAATTGCACTTCCGTCATACCTTTGGTCATGCTAAAGATATCTGCAGCCACATGACAATTTAGAGCCCCGGACAAGCTGCAAAGCTGAAGATCTAGAAGGATATTATATATTCACGTGTGACCTACATTCAGCTTGAAGGCTAAAATTCGCCACACACGGACATTACAAATACTCAGTTTTGTCATAACCACTTCTTCATTGTCCAGTTTGCACTTTCATCGAATGACTGACTACCGGAAATTATCCATTTCCCTTTATACAGAATATATGGTAATCATGCGTGCTGAAGGTAAACAATTCATGCTGCCCCATAATGCAACACTATCGTTACAGCCGACATCCTTTTCTCCTGTACGCAACAAAGCCCATAACAAGATCAACATGAGCCTGTGTGTTAAACTGTAAAACAGCAGCAGGTTTACCCGATAGAAAGTTTCAACAAAGTACTGTCAACGAACTGGTTGCTTCGAGTATAACGTAAAAACATATAAACACAGCGACAAACCTGCTTTGCTGCCTGCATTCCAATAATTTTAATTTTATGTCAGTTTTAATCATATTGTTCAATACTTCAACCCGATAGAAAGTTTCGAAAAAATTTGGCTGTTATCAAAGTAAAGCCCACTGTTTCGTCGTCACAGAATTCAACTTGCTTACTAGGAAAAAGCGCAAGTGCTTATTACTTCATCTCACTTTCAAAATACTTACAGTTGCTGTGTGCGCTTTTAAATGACACCAGAATCGCACTATTTAAAAAAAACCGCGTTTAATTTCTGAAAAAATAGTCGAAAAGTATTGACCAGAAAACTTTTTATGCGCTCGATTCAGTTTTTAAGTAGGACTCCGCTAAGAAAACGCATTAATTACAACATATCAAGTAAATTTACATCGAACTTTATCAGACCTATTTTTTAAATATTGTTTGAAAGCGAATAAGAAGGAACGTATCAGCTAGGGTAGATCTTGTATCAGAAAATCTGAAAGAGTAATGTGCAGGGAAGGGGGAGCGGGAAGACGGGGAAAGGGGGGAGGGGGAGGAGAGCAAGGGGAAAAACTGATTTCGGTAGAACGATGCCAGTTCAGAAAATTCGGCTGGCTATTAGCTAGTCAAAAAACTTTGCATATTTTCAATGCCGCATTGTACCAGCAAAGTATGATGCACAATGGGCATTTTATAAAATTATCAATAAGTACGAAACATTTTCCTCCAAAACATAAAAAATTAAAAGAAAACTTCGTTGTTCTGCTGCCTTCAGCGGGATCATCACAGTATTATCAAGATTCTGAAATTTGAATGTTGTGCTACGTAATGATTTACTTACCGATACTATCAAGCGGAGATAAAATATCGTTAACACTAAATCGATGCGCCAGCTGCTTTTTGAAATTTTTTGAGTTTGTTGCCGAATGCTGCCCAGTTTGGCTTGGTGATGCATCGCCGTTGTTGCCACTGTCATCATTGGCACCAGCACTTGTCTTTGTCGATCCCACTGTTCCTGCCAAGTTTTTCATACTTTCGCGAGTTAATTTGTTACTGGGAATTGATTCCGTTGAGGCAAGCACAAGCTTTGAAATCATACCCACCAGTGGTTGCTGAAAGTTCATAACTTGTATTTTAAAGTGTACTTCTGCAAAATATACGCATCGTTTCAAGACCCATGCCTCGTTTCAAGACCCATGTTCGTTAGGGACTCCAGAACTGCGTAAGCTAGAAAGTTAGGATTTAATGAGTTCTCAAGCACACGTGGAGTTACATATGTGTAATCAATGCAAGTTAATCGTTGCATCCTGATTTATGATTCCGGGAACAAAATCAACCCAATTTTATAAGTTTGCAAGTGAATAGAACTGTAAAGCAAAAAAAACATAAGAGCTCAGTTCATCAAATAGCAGGCTGAACAACATAAAACCTGCACGTAAACGTCACTTTATCTTTGGCACTGGGTTTTTGATCACACAAACTCTTTGTCGTTATGTGAAAAGTGTAGTGTGGACTTTTTAGTTTTGCTAAATATATAGTCTAAAATGAGTATGATCAAAATATATTATATAAATTCACTGAGTGTAACCCAAGCATAAATATAATTTTACTATCTAATCTAAGTATGTAATGTAAATGAAACAAACAGGCTTTGAAGATGATCCGAAATCATCTACAAATCCTATTTGTTTCTGACTTAAAATCTCAGGCTCAATAGTCAAGTTTGCGTTGTAAGTGAAGCCAGAACATCAGATTATAAGAAATTTGAGTGCCGAGAAGGTGGATGACCTGGAAAAAATTCTTGAAATGAATAACTTGAAATCAGCTCCTAAGCACTGGCGTACCTTGTATTGTGCCTTAACGACTATTTGTAATAATTCCAAAATAAATTAGTTAGAAGTGAATTTTTTGTGGTTGAATTACAGCATTATGCGAGTTGACTGATTTCAATTAAATTTCAACTTATGTTGTGCCCTGACCTAGGAACTTGTCCAGGAATGCAGGCTGAAATCATAATTTTTAAACGAATCAAGCCAAACATCTAAAATTTTGGTGTTTTTTTCTTTTGTGCTGCAGAGATTAAAAACTAAGCAAATGTTATAACCTAAAAACTAGGAAACTCGCAAAAAAATCTCGAAGGCTAATTTTAACAAACAGTGAAAAATGTGATTCAACTCAGTTTTGAGATCTCTTCCATACTCAGCTGCGATTCTAAATCCAAAAGAAGTAAGCAATGATGCTGGAGCTTTTGTGCTTTTCGTACAACCAACCTTTTGAAAAATCACCCTTATAATGTGGAATCAACTTCGATAGGTTTTGGTGCATTCACCCACTGTGTTTTGGCAACGACTTACAGCGAAATGCATAACTGTGTTGGTACCTTGTACTCGATACTGCAGGTGGATTACTGTCTGCAAGAGACTCAGGCTTGATAAAAAATTAACAAATATGCCACAAGTATTTTTAGTATCTGATTAAGCAGTATACTTGCTAAAAACAAATCAATGTGTGAGATTCTGGGCACCGCAGTGCAATAATCAATTTTATTTGTATTCCAAATTCAGTTTGGCACTGAATTTCTTGCGCAGAGAAACGACAAATGCTCATTTTTACCACAACCTCAAAAACGAGTTCATTTTGCGATTTTTTCATCATTCCCCCTCTTGCCGTCATGTTCACTGTTCAATCTGAATATTTAGCGAGCGATCGGGCACAGGAATTCATTTCCCTTAATGCAAAATTTATGGTAACTGCAAACACTGGGGTTAAGATTCCATGCAGCTCGATGATTCAACAGTGCCTTCCAGCTGATTTCCTTTTCTGTCTGTGTGCAAGAAAACGCCGAAACTCATGCAACATAAGTTCACGTGTTAGGCAGTAACGCAGGAACCATACATCTTGTTACCGATTTGACTGTTTCAAGCTTAGCTCAAAGAGAGTGCTCGTGCGGTAAGCCCAGTGCGCCGCATCCCAGGTTTCCTTTCTAGCCCCTTTATGTTTGGATACAAATTGACTTTAACACACGTCGCAACGTGCACTAGGGTTTTTTATGTGATTGCGTTTTTGCACTAGACTTAAATGAAACACGTCGTTAAGAAATGATTGGTTGTTGCTTTGCAGTTTAACATGTGCACATACATTGGATGTGTTTTGGTATTTTCCTGTGCTCAAGAGGAAAAGGGGTTAACCGGGCGGTGGCGTCGATCACGGAAACGTGTGAAATCTTAAACTTCGGCAAACATGCTTAAAATACGTTTTGCATGAAGGGAAATGGGAAATTTGCTGATGGACAACGAACATGATGTCGATTGAGAATGACGTCGAAATTCATGTTTTAAGGTTTCCCGCCAAAATTTTAAAGTGTCCGTATGTTAATTTGAGTTCTTTGAATAGTACATAGGCAGAGAGCGTCCTCTTAAAATATAATTTTCTCAGTCTTTCTTGTTTCCGAGTTAGTAATTTTGTTAGTAATTTTTCCGCTAAAACTTCTGAGTGCCCGTGTGTAAGACGCACGTAAAAGTTGATATTTTGCACCTGGAGCCGCACTTGGTCAAGGAATCGGAAGGCCAAAATTCCGGCATCTAAGCTGGTTGCCAAACTAATATGTTTGGAGAGAAGCACAAACACATACATACATACGCAAACACGCATATACACACAAACCCAGGCTGAAACGCACCAGGCGAGCCGGTGCGATCATGCGTTTTTGCACCAGACTTGAAAT